TTTGGGAAACCAGGTTTCGTTGTTTCGCGAATTGCACATGATTTGTAATGATGTGAAGTATGTGTGTGTGAAGTGTGTGTGTGTGTGTATGAGTGTCTGTGTGTGGTTGTCTGTAAGTGTGTGTGTGTGTTTGTGTGTGCTTATGTGTGTGTGTTTGGGTGTTTGTGTGTGTGTGTTTGGGTGTGGTTGTGTGGGATTGTGTGTGCGTTTGTGTGTGTGTGTGTGTTTGTGTGCGTGTGTGTGTGTGTGTGCGTTTGAGTGTGTGTATGTGTGTTTGTGCGTGTCTGTGTGTGTTCGTGTGTGTGGCTGTTTGTGTGATTGTGTGTGTGGTTGTGTGTGCGTCTGTGCGTGTGTGTTTGTGTGTGGCTGTGTGTGGTTGTGTGTGGTAGTGTGTGGTTGTGTTTGTGTGTGTTTTTGAGTGGTTGTGTGTGGTTGTGTGTGTGCGTGTGTGTGTATGGTTGTGTGTATTTGTGTGTGTTTGCGTGTCTGTGTTAGTGTGTGCATGTGTTGTCGTGTGTGGTTGTGTGTGTTTGTGTATGTGTTTGCGTGTGGTTGTGTGTGGTTGTGGATGGTTGTGTGTATGTGTGTGTGTGTGTTTGTATGTGCTTGTGTGTGTGTGTTTGCGTGTGTTTGTATGTGTGTGTGTCTGCGTGTGTTTGTGTATTTGTGCATGTGTTTGTTTGTGTGTGTGTGTGTTTGTGTGATTGTGTGTTCGTGTGTTTGTGTGTGTGTTTGTGTGTTTGTATGTTCGTGTGCGTGTTTGTGTGCGTGTGTGCGTGTGTATGTGCGCGCGTGCGTGCGTGCGTCTGGGTCTGTGTGTGTGTGGGCCTTTGCTTTGGGGCATCCCACTACGTTCTGAAGACGCGGTGGCGGATTTACCCACCTACGGAGTTCGATAGCGCCAGGATCACTGTGACAGTATTGAGAGAACCCATGATCGTCATAAATGGCAGCATCGACGTTATCATTCAAGGGCTCACCCTCGATCATGGTCGTGGCCATGGTATCGAGGTAAAGGGCTGCGACCGCTGCAAATTCGAATCGCTAGACGTCAAGAATTTCGGTGGCGTTGCTATCAAAGTGACTGGTGGGAAGCAAGTCTCCATTCGCAAGTCTCACATACACGAGATCGGCCAGACGGCGATTCAATTACGAGGTGGTACCTTTCCGCCGAGCACCGACGCAGGCAACATGGAGATTGGTGGACACATCGTGGAGGACTGCCACATCGAAAGGTGGGGATATTGGCAGAAGGTGTACACTTCGGCTGTGGACTTACAGGGCACTGCAAATACAGTCAGGCATTGCGAGATACACGACGCGCAGCATGGCGCTGTCATCTTGCGCGGAAACGATCACATTATCGAGTATAATGAGTTCTATGATGTAATGCAGTACTTTCATGATCTAGGCGTAGTGTACTACAATACGGGTAAAGACCCATTTCAGAGGGGACACGCAATAGATAATAATTTCTTCCATTCCATCACCAAGCAAAACAAGGCGTATGGCATCTACGTAGACAATGGAGGTGTCGGCCCCAGATCAATCAAGAAAAACATATTCTACAAGTTTGGGAGTGCCGCGAAGCCTCTCAACGGCGCAATATTCGGAAATGGTTTCAGTGGTTCCAGGACTGAAAATAATTATTTCGTGGATTGCAGGGTAGACTGGATGGATTCGATGTTTATGAACCCAACTGGTTGGGCCAAGCACTGGGCTCAAGAGTACATGGAAGCTTGGGGTGCGGAGTTCGCGAGACGAAGTCCGTCTCAGTTGCAGGCATGGTTTTCCAGATATCCCGACATGGCCACTGCCCGCGACGAAAACCAGACCAATCCCATATCGAATACGTTTGTGGGCAACGTGCAGTATAATCCGACAGTAGCACGCAATTATGCGCCCAGCACTTGGATCAAATATGGGAGTCTTGATTCAGTCCAGGTTTCTCACAACTGGCTGACTGGCTTCGAAAACCCAGGCTTCGCCGAGTTGAGCTCCACGGTCATGGATTTTCATCTTGCGAACGATGCCGTCGAACGGCACATCCCTGGATGGGAGCACATCGAGTGGGACGACATGGGCCTCCGTGAGCCCGTGGGGCCCGACCACGTCACGCAGAGCCGGCGCCGCGTCCCGCCCATGCGTCTGCCGTGCGCAGCGGCAGAGACGGCACACGCAGAGCCTGCGGGCACGTGCCAGAGAGTCTATTTCGGTGAAGCGTGCACGCCTGCGTGCAGCGGGCCATACGTTGCGTCACCGGCCAGCTTGGCATGCACGACCCCCGGTGCAGAGCTGAGATACGAGTGCACCGAGGCGGCCACCGCTTAGGGGGCACCAGCGAAGACAGCGACACTGGCTGCGGCATCGACTGCCAGGAGGTGGGCGCACCAGAGAAACGTCGACGATTGCGGCCTGCGCACGGATTTCTCACCCTCGGGTCCTCCCCTCAACGGGGTTCCTGCGGCCCCACAGACTCCCTCGCGTGTGAACAACTTGGGAAACCCCCGCGCACACAGGTAAAGCGATGAACGAGGGAACACGCCATTGCACATCGCATTGCCTGGCTATGCTTTGCCATCTGCCACCACCTCCTTACCCAAAAGGAGAGGTCAAGGCATTGATGGTCAGCCACTGGAACTCACTGTTACCCCGCCGACAAGAAGGGGACTCTCGCAGCCGGCGGTCTCCGCGAGTTCGTGCAACGGGGCTCTACTTGCATGTGCGGATGGGGAACGGCATCGCGAGTTCACAGTTGGCACGAGGGTTAAGAGCAGCCTTAACACTGGAAGGGTAACCCTGTATGTTCTTCTTGTTTGGGCTCTACATTTGGGAGTGTGTTTTGTTTTCGATGTTTTCCTGATCCATTGGAACCTCGGTGAAGGCTCGAGTGATCTTCCCGCGCGCCCGCCAAGGGGCACGAGGTCCAGGAAAAGACGACAGCCGTCGATTGGCCTCCTCTTCCTCCTCCTCCTCCCTCCTCCTCCTCCTCCTCCTCCTCCTCGCCTGAGGCTTCGCACTCGCCTCGAAAAGAACCGAGGCCTGGATTGGCCCACGTTCTTGTGGCCCTGCTTCGACTCCACCCCCTGTGTTGTGTGACTACAGTGGAGATCCATGCCAAGAAAAACCCTGCTTGCCTCCAGGGTGCCCTGGGTGTCTTGGGTTTCGATGGTCTTGCTATGGAAAGCTTGACGCTCCCCCACCAAAGATCAGCGGACGTACTGGGGTCTCAGGGTTGGGTTTCTTGTGGAAGGTTTCTTGTGGTCGGGCCCCTACTGTACGGGTGATCTGTGGAGAGGGTGCGCTGGGCACTGGTGAAGGAAGGGTCCAGCGGGGGCGATGGCGGGAGGGACCCTGGTTTTGGAAGGGAGGCGGCCATTTTGCAGCATTGGACTTGTCTTAGCATGTGCATGGCAGTTGGTCCTCAGCATCCTCTTATTCGGCCTATTCCGCTCGGTAGTTGTTTTTTGTGTTCTGTGTCTGTCTCTCTCTCTCTCTCTATCTCACTCTCACTCTCGCTGTCTCTACACATATGCATATAATTATATACACATATACATACCTATTATTAAAAAATACCTAAATACTATATAGATACATATATACATATACATACCACACATGTATGTATACATATATGTGTGTACATTTATGTGTGTGTATATATATAATGTCTAAAAGCTGTGTTTAAAAAAATGGGGGAGACAGTTAAAACAATGGTTTTCCCCAGCGCTGTAGTGCGCCTATAGAAAGCAAAAGGGAGGCGGGGCAAACTGGATCGCTGGAGACGTCCCCGCGACCGCCCTGGCGCCCTGCGTGCAGGGGCAGATTCCTGCGCACTCCCTCTTGGCGTCAGGCCAGGCCCTGCGACCCCAGCGTGGATAAAGACTGCGCTCAGGGACCACTCTCTGCGCACCGCGCACCCTGTCTGGGTTGCGAACAAGCCACACCTGACACACCCGAGCCTGGCGTGGAAAGAGACCGCACTTGGGGACCATCCCTTGCGCACGCCCTCTGGTGCCGAGAGGGCCACAATTGCTTTAAGATGGCCTCCAAGATGGCGCAATGTGGTCCAAGTTGGCTCAAGATGGCCTCATCAGACCGGCGACACGTGATGAAAATATTAAGCAACAGGACAGGAGAGGGGCTAGACCAGGTTACGACGAAGGCCGGATCGCCCTCCAGGCCAGAAAAAAGCCCTCAGCAAGCCGCTCAGTTCGATGCCGCACCAAGGCTACACCAGGTTACAGCGAAGGTCGCACCGCCCTCTGGGCCAAATTTGCGGGGCTACAGCAGGATAGGCCGTCCACCCTCTGGGCCACGCAAGCGGGGCTACACCAGGTTGCAACGAGGGCCGGCGCGCCCTCCAGGCTAGACATAAGGGGCTACACCAATCTACGATGTCACATCGGCATTCTCCCTGGTACCGAGGTATATACAAGTGGCATCGATCGGCATCCATGGAATTTTCCCAGGGGGGACAGATAAACAAATAGTTATTCGGATGCGAATTAATGGCAGTCGGGATCCGGGGGGGGGGGAGGGGGAGGTCATCATTTTTTAAACCTGTTTTGGATATTATATATCCCCGTGCACGAGGCCTGGGCGCCTGGGGCCCGGGGCATGGGGGTGGGCATGGGAGGACTGGGGTTTCCCAGACCATTCCCAGAGCACCCCAGAGCGGCCCTGGAGCTCCCAATCTGCCCCAGAGAGCTCCAAGACGCTCCCAGAAGCCCCCAGGGGACTTCGACCAGCCCCTCCAAGACAGCCCAGATAGCCCCAAAGTGGCCCCAGATGGGTTCCAGACATAAATACACAGCCCAAGAGGCCTCCGGGAGGCCTCCAGAGACTTCCGAGAGGCGTCCCGAGAGAGCCCTAAGAGGCCCGAATCTTTGATTTTCCTTGGTGTTTGCGATGTTTTTTTTGGGGGGGTGTCTCGCGTTTTCGACTTTCTGGCGCTCCACGACAGCCGACGACGCCCCGACGACCGCCCCAAGACCGCCGAAAAGGCCTTCCGTAGCCATTTTGGCTCAAGGCATTTTGGCTCAAGGGCCGTTTGGGCTTAGGCGAAGTGTGATACATTTTGTTAAAGTCAAATGGGTTTGGCACTCAGCGACATGCTGCGCAGTCGTAGGGGAAACGCGGCTGCAGCCTTGGCTGCAATCTTTGTGCTTTCGGCAGCGTGGGGCAGCTGCCCGACACGGAGCTCGAAGAGCATGATTATGTCAATTGGTCTTCGCATTGGCTCTTCAGTTGGTCGAAGTAGTTCGCAGCGGTGCTGGAAGGCCAGCAACTTGTGCGAAAACATGAAGGACTATATCGATCGGAACGGCCTGACTCACATTTTCGTTGGAACTTCAAGTAAAACTGGTGGTTCGACAACCAAGCATTTTTTTTCACCTGGTCCATGTGTCGGACTTGAGTGCGACCAGCATTTTCTTAAAGTGCTGAGCGCACGTTGCCAGTGGGCCATAACCGGCTCTCACATGTGGAGGGGTCTCAAGCCTCTTCTGAATGAGTCCTGCTCACGGAAGACGCTTTTCTTGCTTCCGGTGCGTGAGGAAGTGTCGTGGATGAGGTCTGCGCTCAAATAAGTGTGCTGGCACCTGGGCTGGGAGGCGGGCCGAAATTCGTGTGAGCCGAAAACTTGCCCGAAGACATGTGGGAATCAAACTTGGCTGCAAGAAGCCCTTCGACTCAAGCCAGACGAATTACGCTTTGGTCCTCACAAGTGGATCGCTGAGTGGATGGTTCGCAGTCAAGAATTTCACACCTTCTTGTTTGATTACTCTGTTACCGAGGACGTGCTACGCTGCCTTCCGCCGAAGGGCTTGAGGATCGAGAATTTGTCCAGACTTGCGCGTCATGTCTACAGACGGGACGACCCGATCGAGTCTGCCAACAATGCCGAGTCGGATCACCTCTTTAGACCCGTCATCTACATCTCGGACCACGCCATGCTCGCCGGGTACAACGCACCCTACTGGGTTCAGCCTTACGCCACGGCTGCCAAAGCGTCCGACTGCGCGGTGGCTTCTGCATTGGGACTCCAGGTCGTAAAGCGCTGATGATCAGGGGAGCAAGCGTGAGGAAGTGTCGTGGATGAGGACTGCGCTCAAACACGTGTGCTGGCACCTGGGCTGGGAGGCGGGCCGAAGTTCGTCTGAGCCGAAAACTTGCCCGAAGACATGTGGGAATCAAACCTGGCTGCAAGAAGCCCTTCGACTCAAGCCAGACGAATTACGCTTTGGCCCTCACAAGTGGATCGCTGAGTGGATGGCTCGCAGTCAAGAATTTCACACCTTCTTGTTTGATTACTCTGTTACCGAGGACGTTCTACGCCGCCTTCCGCCGAAGGGCTGGAGGATCGAGAATTTGTCCAGACTTGCGCGTCATGTCTACAAACGGGACGACCCGATCGGGTCTGCCAACATTGCCGAGTCGGATCACCTCTTTAGACCCGTCATTTACCAGCCTTGAACAGATGCCTATCCTTATGATTGAAGTCACCCGATCTCCATGCCGATCTTGAGGATTCCCTCGACTTCTGAGGGCCCATCCAGAAGAGTATTTGAGCTTGGCAATCTTAGGGGTAGAGATAAGATCGAGGCTGGTGACCGTCAACATCTCGGACCACGCCATGCTCGCCGGGTACAACGCACCCTACTGGGTTCAGCCTTACGCCACGGCTGCCAAAGCGTCCGACTGCGCGGTGGCTTCTGCGTTGGGACTCCAGGTCGCAAAGCGTTGATGATCAGGGGAGCAAGCAATGGCATACACATGAAAACATCGGAGGCCAATTGGCAATTACACAAGTACAAATTGGCGACGATCCGCGCGGATTTATTGGATCTGCGCCTCTGGCTGTCTCTCGGGAATGTCTGGGGCGTGCTCAGGTTTCAAGCTTCTTAACCTGGGGCTGACCCGCACACTCGCGGGATATAATACTTACGGTTTCAGTGTGATGGGCCATGTTACTCAATTCTACTCGCCCATTGCAGAAGCTTACCGTCTCGAGAGAGAGAAGCTTTTCAGTCCTTGGTCATTGCTCCCCATAGTGTTCTCTCCTGTTCTCTGTTCATACTGTACTCGCCTGGCGTACACTCTGCGCCCACTGCAGAAGCTTACCGTCTCGAGAGAGAGAGAAGTTTTTCAGTCCTTGGTCATTGCTCCCCGTAGTGCTCTCTCCTGTTCTCTATTGAAGTCTGCCAAGGAGTCTGGTCTCCCTGTTGAGGCGAGGTCGCTGGTGTGCATGGCGCAGGCTGCTCAGTACAGGTGCGCTTTCTATACGAAAGCCTTCTTCGATATGGGTCATCTCCTCGACACGATCGGGGCGTTTGACGAGGCGTGAGTCACTCACGAAACCGACAAATACACGGGGACGGGTTGCTGCTGGGTGCGTTGGTCGCTGGCGGGCCAGGGAGCAACCGTCGCAGATTTGTCCCCTCGGTCTGGGTCACGGGCTGCGGCTCGCAGGCCAGGAGGGATATTGCTCCACAGCAGTGGAAGCGTGTGGGATGCACGGGGACTGGGCGTCCGAGCGATGGCAAGCCTCTGCGGCGCGGCCGCCGGGCTTTCTACATGCTGCTTTCTGTACTTCTCTGGCGCGCCCGCGAAGTCTTTTCCCATTCTGAGCGGCCCTTGCTTTCCCCGTCCTTCTCTCTCTTCCCGCATCCCGGCGTGCCCCCGTTTGTTTCCCGCGCGTCCCGCTCGATCCGCCACCAGCCTCGGCCCGCTCGCGCCCACTGACGCAGAACAAGTTTCAGAGGGCCACGAGCAGCGCAAAAAAAAAAACGCCGAAAAGGCCTCCAACAGAGCCCCAAGACTGCCCCAGGGAGCCCGAAAATTGCCCAGGACGAGCCTCAGACGGCCCAAGAGAGCCCCAGGACAGGCCTAAGCTGGGCCCCAGAGCGGCAGCGGAGGCCCCAAGGCGCTCCAAGACCGCCCTGATGTCCCCAACGTGGTCCAAGATGGGCCCAACATGGCCAATACACAGCGCAAGAGCCTTCCAAGAGGCCCCAGGAGAGCTGCGAGAGGCGTCCCCAGAGAACCCGAAGAGGCCCATATTCTTGATTTCCAGTCGTTGTTTCAAATTTTTGTTCGCTTTCTCGCGTTCTCGAGCTTCCAACGCTCGAACACGGCTGAAGACGCCCCGAAGATCGCCCCGAGACCGCCGAAGAGGCCCCGAAAAGAGCCCCAAGACTGCCCAAGAGAGCCCCAGGACAGGCCCAAGCTGGGCCACAGAGCGGCAGTGGGAGGCCCCAGTGCGCTCCAGGACGGCCGAGATGATTCCAACGTGGCCCAAGAGGAGCTCAAGACGGCAAACACACAGCCCAAAGAGCCTCCAAGAGGGCCCAAGAGAGCTCCGAGAGACTTCCCGAGAGAGCCCAAAGAGACCCAAATCATTGATTTGCATTGGTTTGCTCGATGTTTTACGCTTTCTCGCGTTCTCGAGCTTCCAATGCTCGAAGACGGCCGCAGACGCCCCGAGACCGCAGAAGAGGCACCCGAGAAAGCCCCAAGACGGCCCCACTGAGCCCGAAAATAGTCCCGGAGGAGCCCCAGGCGGCCCAAGAGAATCCAAGGACAGGCCTAAGTTGGGCCACAGAGCGGGAGCGGGAGGCCCCAGGGCGCTCCAAGATGGCCCAGACGGCCCGGGCCTCCTGCCTCCATTCTCTCCTCTCTCCTCTTCCTCCCCTCACCCCTCAGCGTTCGTGCTCCTCCCTCCTCTCCTGGGACGGCCCCGCCAGAGCGCTATACCCTATCATTTCAAAAGTTGCCTTCCCCCTCCCACCCCTCAAGGGCGGCCCCGGCAGAGCGAGAACGTTCTGACTACGCGTTTCTTTGCGTCGATGGCATGGGCCCGAGAACGCTGGAAATCGTCGTTGTGACCACAGCGGGGCTTGCAGCGGCACCCGTGCCTCATCTGCGACTAGAACCTAAGCGCGCGCGTAGCGCGCGCGTGGTTCTAGGATGTATATATATATATATAAATATGTATATATGCACACACAGATCTGCTCCCTCTGCAGGATGTCACGCCATCCTCTTTACCATCTCATGGATCCCTCCTCCTGAGTCTCTCTCTCTCACTCTGTCTCCCTCCGTGTCCCCTCAGCATCATCATCAGCATTACCATGATCAGCATCCACATCATCACCATCATCATCATCACCACCACCATCGTCAGCATCATCACCAACACCATCAGCAACATCAACAACAACACCCTCGGAATCATCATCAGCATCGGAGGCAGCAGCATCATCATCAGCAAGACCATCATCATCATCATCACCATCATCATCGCGACCGTCATCGTCATCATCAACAACAGCAGCATCAGCAGCATCACCATCACCATCACCAGCATCATCACCTGCATTAGCAGCATCGTCCTAATCAGCATGCTCAGCATCCTCAGCATCAGCAACATCATCAGCAGCAGCATCATCAGCAGCAGCATACTATTCCTCTCTCCCTCCTCCTCCTGCTCCTCCTCCTCCTCCTTCTCGTCGTGCTCCTCCTCCTCCTTCTCGTCCTCCTCCTCCTCCTCCTCCGCCTCCTCCTCCTCGTCCTCCTCCGCCGCTTCCTCTTCCTCTCCTCATTCCTCCCTCCTCCTCCTCATCCTCCCCCTCACCTTCCACCTTCCTCCTTCCTCCTTCCTTCTTCCTCCTCCTCATTCCTCATTCTCCCCCCCTCCTCCTCCTCCTACCCTCCTCCTCCCTCCTCCCTCCTCCTCCTCCTACTCCTCCTTCCTCCTCCTCTTCCTCCTCCCCCTCCTCTCCTCTTCCTCCTCCTCCTCCTCTCCTTCCTTCTTCTCCTCCTTCTCTTCCGATCCCCTCCCCCGACTCCTCCCTCCCCATCCTCTCCTCCTCCCGCCGCACCAACATCGACGCACCCCTCACACGTTTCGTGCCCCCCCGCCCAGGCAGCCCCCCCCCCCCCGGTAGCACCAGCTGGCCTTCATAGGCTTGACGAGCCGTCCGGGGCGATCTCAACACCTCAACCCTGCGGCGCGGAACCACCCTGTGGCGCCGCAGAACGCCCCAAGGGTGAGGAGGAGGAGGAAGAGGAGGAGGAGGAGGAGGAGGAGGAGGAGGGTGAGGAGGAGGAGGAGGAGGACGAGCAGCAGCGAGCACATGAAGCGACGCGCCGAGTCAGGAGGGATGATGGGCGAGTGCAGCAGGACAAGGTGAGAACGCACAATCACTCACAGAAAGCAGAGGACACGGACGAGACAACATGCCGCCTGGCACGGTAGCCGAGCGCATCCTCACCTCCGACCAGAGATGCGGCCAGGGCAAACACATCCAGGGCAGGGCGGCCTGTCCCGGTGCGAGCGAGTAAGTGACGCGACCCGATGAAGCACCTGAGCCACGCCATATCAGGAAACTCGACCCGATGAAGCACCTGAGCCACGCCATATCAGGAAACTCGACGAGCTAGATACAGAGTTACGCACGTAGACCCAACCACTGCACCCCTGGGTCGTCGACCATGAGCCGGCGGGGCCGTGGCATGGGGCGTTTCCGTCCTTCCTTCGGGTGCTTGTCCGAAGCAGAGTTAGCTCGGCGCCACCTGCGCGGAGGGTCATCTTTCGGGGCGGACAGGTCACACAGGGAGAAGAGCTGAGATCGGGCAGCGCGCTCAGCAAAGAACACGCATCTCGTGTATCCAAGTATCTCGCCAGCTCTATACAAGATGTGTCCCCTGGTGGCTGCGGGGGGAACGATACCTTCGGACGGGAGCACCGTGCTGGGAGGGACCGCCGTAGCCCGTCTAGGGGCCGACAACCTAGGGCGCTTCTCCGAGCCAGCGCCCACGGGCTCGATGGCGGCAGCCGCCTCACGGACGACCCCTTGGGGTCATGGTTCGAACCTGACCCGAGGTTGCACCCGCCTAATGAACGGCTCCGCCATCTCCTCCAAGGGCCCGCTCAGCATCCTGGTGAGAGGAGGAGGAGGAGGAGGAGGAGTAGGGGGAGGAGGAGGAGGCAGAAGAGGGCTCCACCCTGGGTCGGACCGACCTGGCCTGGTCAGGGTCTTGGGCTTCCTGATCCGGGGGCCTCTTGATCCCTCGTCGGGCTGCTCCGGATTGTGCTCAGGCTCCCGTGGCTCACTGGAGGCTGGCGGAGCCTGAGGGGTCACACCTCCAGCAGGGACAGGGCACGCCTTCCTCACCATCGCTTTGCGACCTCTGGCGGATCTCGCGGAGCGAGGGCGATTCTCACGGTTCCACCCGCAGGGCGCGCTCACCGCAGCGCGGTGCTGCTGGCGTCCCGCGAGTGGCGGCGGCGGTGCGTTCCTCGCTGCCGCCTCTGCGCAGCTGCCCGTGGTCGAGCACCGCGCCGTAGGCGTGGCCCTCTGCGTGCTTTGCGTTCCACTGCGTCCACCCGATCAGGTCGATCGTCGAGCAACTCCTGCGTGTTGGCGATCCAGCGCCGTCGGCTCGCAGCGGGTCTCGCGGTAGCATGGTACGCGCGTAGAGCCTGTCTCCGGGGAGTGCTTGCTTGGCCTCCGCGATGATGTGCTGCTCGACTGCCTCGACCCTCTCGGCCTCCAGGTTGGGACATCTACATCGGCGGCGATGGATCGCGCCCTTGATTCGGTCCTGGAGACGCCGAGCTTGCGAAGCCTGCGGCAAAACTGCGACCGAAACTGGGGGGACACCCCTTGGATTAGCAAAACGTGGGACGGAGCCCGAACACGACAACGGGACTTGCATCCTAACGCCAAGCGCAACCTCGTCGCCCCCTCCGCCAGGGCATGACGACGGGCTACGCGCTGGTCCGTAAACGTGCGATTGAACCTGGAAGGCCATCCCCAGGGCATGCGTCTTTTCATGCGTTATGACACCCCCCGCCATGCCAGCGTGGTCCTCATGACGGACGTCCTGGTGGACATCATTTTGTTGCCAGTAGCCATCTAGGTCGAGGTCACTCACGTCCCCGCTCCGGTGGTCTACCTCCGAGTCGTCCATCGCGGCGTAGTGTCGTCCCGGAACGGATGGCAGGTTGGGCGAGCGAAGTTGGTGGTCCTCGTCATCACCCGCGGCCCTCTGAGAGCCCTGGCTGAGGCCTTCCTTAGGAGTGCCGCCTTCCCCTGGCGCCCGGCCAGAAACGGGGGGCCCATGGGCCTCGCTCCGGGTGGCTTCGTCTGGGCCTTGGCGTTCCCGATCTCCAGACTGGGGGAGGCGACGAGACGGTGCGGCGCGAGGCCCAGATTGCCCTGCAGCTCTCCTGCCTGGCCGTGCAGGTGGTGGACTTGTCGCGGGCCAATGTTGATGGGCATCGCGGCCCTGCGAGATGATCTGAAGCGGCCACTGATGTCGTCGAAGGTCCCGTCAACTTGCTGGCTGATGCGGTAGTTTGCTCACCGTTTGGCCCGTCACGCCGCGTATCTTCAATTGGTTAATCCATGTTTGCTTGGAGGCCCAGGTAGCCGATGTCCTCCTCCTCCTCCTCCTCCTCTGCGTTGTTGGCAGCAGGCGAACACTGTAGGCAACGAGGTGCATCAGCGTATCCGTACTTGCGAAGCCGCGCCTGCGACCACTGACCCCCGATGACAGCAGCACGAAGCGCGGCCCGAGCACGGACCGACAGACGCCATCTGAGCGCCTGCTCTCGTAGTGTTGTCAGAAGCTGCAGCGCGGCCATCCAGTGGCCACAAGTCCCGCGCTTCGCGTCAGCCTTGTCTGGAGCGCGGTCCTTCCTCCACAGGGCTCAACCTAAACGGTGCTTTGGTGATTTCGTGGATCGTTGTCGTTTCGACTTCGTCTTGCAGCAGAGGCGGATTTGAAGCAGAACGAGAATATCGAAAACAGAACGA